TTAAAAAAAAAAAAAACACAAAAAACTTTATATCCTGCATATCCTCCCCCAGAATGTTCTCCCTTATACCTGTCACATCCGTGCATGTGTCCGCACAGTTGCCGTCATGGTGACTCGCTCTTCTGTGTTGCCGATTTTTATGAACCTTACTCTGTTCTCTCTCCATGCGGCTGTGTATTCTCCTATCATTGTCATTTATACTGGTTGTGAACTATTTCATCTAGATTTATTAAGCTGTTGCCCCTAACGTTTGTTTCTCTTTCATCCATTAATAAAGCATATGCGTATCCAGAGTCATGCTAATATGCACTAAGGATCAGAGAACCAACAATACTACCAAATTCTCGCTCTTGGGAAGTTCACAGATAAGCAGGGCTGCTTGACCACTGAGCAAAGGTTGTGAAGTAACAAGATGAATCACATCACTGATGGTTTCCTTATGCATCTCAAGGAGCTGTTTATGTGACCAAGCAATGCAGTTTTCTCTTAATATTATTTGCTTTACAGAGAAAGTCAATTATCATATGGTTTCACTTATTTGTGGAACATAAGGAATAGCATGGAGGATATTAGGAGAAGGAAGGGAAAAATGAAGGGGGGGAAATCGGAGGGAGAGATGAACCATGAGAGACCATGGACTCTGAGAAACAAACTGAGGGTTTTAGAGGGGAGGAGGGTGAGGGAATGGGTTAGCCCAGTGATGGGTATTAAAGAGGGCACGTACTGCATGGAGCACTGGGTGTTACACGAAAACAGTGAATCGTGGATCACTACATCAAAAACTAATGTATGGTGACTAACAACATAATAAAATTAAATTAAAAAAAATAAAAATAGAACTTCAAAAAAATATTTGCTTCAAATATTTTTTTCTATCCTTGCTATTCTAATTTTTTTTTTGTCATTGTTATAGCAGTTAATTTTTTAAATATTCAAGTCTTTCCATTTTTCCCCATTTCAAAATTGAGATATTTCTCATTTTTCCACAGATGGGAAAAATTATGCTATATATTCGCTATTTTTTTTCCCTCTACTAGTTGATCTTTTATAGTTGCTGTTTTATTTTTGGAAGGTTTTAAAACGTATGAGACGCAAAGCTAATGCAGTTGCTTCTCAGTTAACCTAACAAAATGGATCAGGTACTCTTTGAGGCTTACGGTGTTCTTCGGGGAACATGGGGAGTTGGGGAAGCCCCAATTTGTCTCACGCTGTCCCCTTCCTCTGGGGTCTCTCTGCCGGGGCCACACAGCTGCAGGTCTTGCTGCTTTGGAAAACACTCAAGTTGTGTGTTTTATGCCGGCATGCTGAATGCTCCAAAAGCACAAACTTTCAAAGTGAAACAAACTTGACTTTAAGATTCACCCATAAGTCCCAGTTTTTCCACAACTTGCGGTCTCACCATTTACTTGTGTGACTTTGACCTTAGTAGAGTTTTTGATCCCCAGTTCCTTCATCTGTGATATTTGGAGCAATAATATTCTCCAAGGGGTCGTTTAAGAGCTCAGTGAGGGGGCACCTGGGTGGCTCAGTTGTTAAGCGTCTGCCTTCGGCTCAGGTCATGATCCCGGGGTCCTGGGATCGAGCCCCGCATCGGGCTCCCTGCTCAGAGGGAAGCCTGCTTCTCCCTCTCCCCTCCCCCTGCTTGTGTTCCCTCTCTCGCTGTGTCTCTCTCTGTCAAATAAATAAAATATTTAAAAAAAAAAAGAGCTCAGTGAGAACACTCTGCGTCTCATCACCTTCTAGATTAGTGGAACTGCATCGGCCCTAAAAAACTCTCCTTCCCCTTTCTCTCTTGACCTAGAACTGCACTGTTCAAAACTATGGTCATTAACCATATGTGGCTGTCTAAATTTTAATTAATGAAAAAGAAAATTAAAAACTTGGTTTCTCGGTTGCGCTAGCCGCCAGTGACTCCTGCCTGTCACGCTGGGTGGTGCCCGTGGCGACCGTTGCCTTCTCAGCGTGCTCTGTTGTCGACGTAGCTCAGTCTGTGTGGCTTTTCAGCATCACCAGTAAGCTTACCGGTAGTGGTTTGGCAGCTTGTAATGTTATTTTGACCCTTTATCACGTTGGTGAGGAAGAGACGTAAGCCAGTTGCGGAAGTGTGCGGTGGCCGTGCCCTGGAGCTGAGTGGCGGACGGCTGCAGGGGCTCAGTAGCGCCTGTCCTGTTGATGTCACACAAAAGGTCAGGAAATACAGTGTGATGAGGCTGTCCGTGCAGGTGGTTAGAAGGGCTCACATCTGCCCAAGTTATGAAGCCAGTGCACTTAATTATGACTGGAACGAATTTGTACAGGTTCTACAAACGTAATGAGAACACGCCTTTCCCTCTCTTTTCCCCCCAGGAAAGAGAATACTGTGCCAGGCCGAGACTGGATATCATCCAGCCACTCTCTGAAACCTGTGAAGAGATCTCTTCTGATGCTCTGACCGTGAGAGGCTTTCAGGAGAATGAGTGTAGAGATTATCATTTAGGTGAGAGACCAAGGCTCTGGCTCATGGTATTTCTTATACTTGTGGGTTTTTTCCCCTTTCATGTGATTAGCACAACCAGGAATTTAAATTGAGGGGCTGCAAGGGTCGTAGAGACTACCTGGGCAGACCTCTCGTGTCGAAGATGAGGGCCCGCTCACACAGCAGACGGGCCGGGTAGGCCTGGGGTCAGTACCGAGGTGAGTAGACTCCGTGGTCTTTGTTCTCAGATTTTGTCTGTTGTCCTAATTAGTGTGACACTTACATTGACGTCAGGCAGCATGATTCTGTGGTTGCCATACGACTCCCAACTTTATGTATCTGGAAAGTATGCTCTGGAATGGCAGAGAAGTCCTCTTTCTGTTTGTGACCAAATGCCCAGAGCCTGGAAGAGTGCCTGACAAATACTCGGTGTTCACTGAATATTTGTAGAGTGGATGAATGAATGCACTGGTCACTGCCCAGAAATAAAGGACGAACCACTGCTCTTTGGTCATACTGGGGCCTCTGTGCTCGAGTGTCCTCATATCCTTTAAAAATACATTGATGATGGGGCGCCTGGGTGGCTCAGTTGGTTAAGCGACTGCCCTCGGCTCAGGTCATGATCCTGGAGTCCCGGGATCGGGTCCCACAGCGGGCTCCCTACTCAGCAGCGGGTCTGCTTCTCCCTCTGCCCTCTTCCCTCTTGTGCTCTCTGTCTCTCATTCTCTCTCTCTGAAATAAATAAATAAAATCTTTAAAAAAAAAAACATACATTGATGATGGTGGGGCACCTGGATGGCTCAGTCATTAAACATCTGCCTTCGGCTCAGGTCATGATCCCAGGGTCCTGGGATCGAGCCCCACATTGGGCTCCCTGCTCCACAGGAAGCCTGCTTCTCCCTCTCCCACTCTCCCTGCTTATGTTCCCTCTCTCGCTTTCTCTCTGTCAAAAAATAAATAAAGTCTTTTAAATAAATAAATAAAAACACATTGATGAAAGTAGAACAGCCTAAGCTTTTTTTTTTTTTAGAAATTCTTTCCTGCTTCCAAAACAATTGACATGTTTTCAGAATATTTTCAATTTTCATTTTGGCCAAAGGAAACGAAGAAATACTCTATACAGTCAGAGCTTTCTTATATGTGGCCCCTAATCAGTTGAGAAATGTGTGAGTCTATTCTGGACTTGGCAAAAAGCAAATGTGACTCACAACTGGAAGTGTCTGAGCTAGGTATTTTGCTCGGAGCAAACTCGCTGCACACTTAGAAACCCTTCAGAACAGGTTGTATAATTGAATTCTGCAGGAAACCCTCACGATCGGCATTGTGCACAACATGCTGGAATGATAGATTATGTCCCCAGGGTTTGGGGCATCTGTCATTTATGCTGTAGATGGCCTTGACCTCGATGAGGAAGAAACATTTATCGCCAACTGTGGGCTGTAATTGTTCTGTTAAAATAGAACAGTGTTGTAAATGGCGATAAATTAAGTTTATATACAGAAGATGAATTCTGATACACCATAGACGCAGAGAATTTTGATCATCATCTTTCAGTTGAGGTCACAATGTTAATGTGTTAAACACAGAATTATAAACCTACCTTACTTTAAGTTTTTTGGTATTCCTTCCTTCCCTCCCTTCTTTTTTTTTTTTTGAATAATTTTACATGTAAATGTTTTTTAAAGCACTCCCACCTTCAAACAGAGCCAAACACACTTGCTCCAAAGGTAGGCAGGTTTTCTGTTCCCTCTGGAGTTGGGTTACCTAACCAAGTCTCTGAAACCACGGCCCAGGTTTCTACTGCTGAGTCGCCCACACTGTTCCTTTCTTCCCTCACCTCTAGAGTACTCTGAAGGGGAATCGCTCTTTTACATCGTGAGTCCAAGAGATGTTGTGGTAGCCAAGGAACGAGACCAAGATGACCACATTGATTGGCTCCTTGAAAAGAAGAAATACGAGGTAGTTTTGATTTTGCTTTCTTTAAAGTATTTACACACCTGTAACAGAGGAGAAAAGGTTTCTGTAATAAATCTTTTGTGTAGGTGAATTAGAATGCCCTAAGCTAAAAATATACAGGAGGCTAATAACTCTCCAATACCCTTTTCAGAAATTAGGGGGGAAAAGATTACAAGGGGGTTAACTGGCTTTACTGTTCAGTGGAGCAGGAGGTGGTGGTAGAGGGAGCGGAGTGGGTTCGATCCAGCCTATCCGAGTGTTTGTTTTGTGGCTTTTTGGGAAAAATAAAATGGAGCTAGTATTTCAGAATTGTCTCATATATTTTAGTGGTACCATTCATTTGTGCAAATTTCATGTGTAAAGTTAAGCTATGAAGTTATTATTCACTGAGGATGGTTTGAACTACTTTTCAGATAGGATGATGTTGTCCACTCCATTGAGTCTTGAATCAGACTGATTTGAATAGAAAAATGTCCCATGATGAGCTTTTCTTTTTTATTTATTTATTTATTTATTTATTTATTTATTTATTT